GACGAGTTGATTAGAATCAACTAAAGGCCAAACCTATCCGCCCATTAGGTTGTGGTATTCAGACTAACTTCATCAACGGTACTCTACATCGTCTCAGAGTCGGCAAAAATTTTAAAAGGTAAACGTCCATATCCTAACTATAGATTCGCTGCGTTAGGATTTATTTCGATAAAGTTCAATACTGTGCATGTTGTTTGACGTTCCTAATAGAACCCAACATGTAGTCAGTTGATGTTTCACCATCCCCAACCGAAGGTTCAGCTATCTACTTGTCTGCAGAACTCTTAACATTATGAGTATCCTGCAATTCCTCAACATTTTCAAACTGATTAAAAGATACAGAAGAACTAAATTGAGAATTTTTTTTATCAAAGATTACGTTTATTGACTCAATTACAATGGAGGTACTTGTGTTGTAAACATGGTACGCTCGACTATTGTTAGAGTCACCAAGAAAGAATCCAATATCCGATTTTGCATCGAACTTCCCAAGTTGAACACGATCATTATAGATAAAACATTTACACCCAAAAATATGCAAGTGACTGAGGTTAAGACTCTTACCTTTCCAGAGTTCATACGAAGGAAGACCAATACATCAACGAAGGTACACTAGCTTCACGAGGTAGCATGCTGTATTGATTGCCTCAGCCCTCCATCTAAAAGAAATGTTTTTGGAGTTCAACATGACTCTGGCCATTTCTTGTAGAGTATGATTCTTCCTTTCAACAACTCCATTTTGCTGTGGAGTTTTAGGAGCTGAGAACTCGTGACTAATACCCAGAGAGTCACAAAATTCCACAAACTAAGAATTTTCAAACTCTCTTCCATGATCACTTTGAATACTTATTATGGGAAAGCCTTTCTCAGTTTGAACCTTCAAACAAAGTGACTTAAAGGCAGAGAACGTGCCAGACTTTTCACGCAAAAAATCGACCCAAGTATATCGAGAGAAATAATCAACGCACACAAAAATATACTTTTTACCTTGATAGCTTTCTACCTGAATGGGACCCATGGGATCCATGTGAAGAAGCTCTAGAATCTGTTTAGAAGCAATATGGTTCAGTGACTTGTGGGATGTCCTCGTTTGCTTACCTAGTTGACAAGGTTCGCAAATCGGCTGATCTTTCATAGCAATCTTTGGAACACCCCTGACTACACCTGCATTGGTCAATTTGACAAGGTGAGAGTATCCAATATGCCCTAAGCGTTGATGCCAGATTTCCGGTTCCCTTACATTTGCGAAAAGGCATTTTTCATTAAAATCAACAAGATAACAATTATTCGTTGAACGAGAACCTGTAAGTACACAAGAACCTTCTCTGTCTTTCACATAACACTTATCACATGAGAAACTGACACTAAGACCTTGATTACAGAGTTCACTCACACTCAAAAGATTTGCCTTTAGTTCATCAATAAGTAACACATCAGTTAATTTAGGTATTCCACCCAAATTTAAACAGTCTGTTCCAATAACCTTATTGCTCACAACATCACTGAATGTGACTTCCCCATTTGAACAGGACTGAATGTTCATTAAGTAAGAAGGTTCCATTCATGTGTCTAGAGCAGCCACTGTCCAGATACCATTTACCTTTCAAGGAAGTTCTGAGGGACAGAACAAAAGCAAAACAGTTGAAGGATTTCTTAGCAACCCACACTTGATGAGTTTTGGCACGGTTATTTGGGAGGGTTCTGGCATGAACCTTCACTGGAATGCCAGACTGATTCCAACCCCTAACATTACCTGTACAAAGATCATGCTGCATTTTATAACATTTGGGTCTTATGTGACCAGTTACACCACAGTAATGACAGATAGGAACAAAGTTATGGTGAATTTTACTAACAAGTTTCTGCAGAGGAGAAGGAGCCTTCAAAGGAGATTTTGGAGATAGAGGTTTACTTACAGTGCTTTTGACAAACCTGTCGAACACATTTCTGGAAGGTTTCCCATGCAGGTTCATGCCTCCAATTCCAAGTTTGTCCCCAAATCCAAGGCCAGCATGTCGTGTACTCGAAGTCCCAGTTGAGGATTCTGGATTGTTCTCCTTGCCCGTGTACCCTATTCCAGTAAGATCACCATGTTGTTTCCCCAAGGAGAGAAGTTCATTCAGATCTGCTTTTCCCTTATTCAGTTTTCGAACGACTTCTGCAGTTCGGTTCAACTCAGCAGAATTTACCTTCAGTTTGCTTTCCATGCTAGCATGTTCGTTCATCAGCCGATCAGCTTCATTTTTCAGTAGCACGATTTCCTGGTTCCATTCCGCAAGAAGTTTTTGAGTAGAAAATAGTTCGGTCCTCAAGCATTCAATGGTCTGAGCCTTCTCCAGTCCGTCTTGTTTAGCAAGTTTGACACTGCTCTCAAGGATGCAGGTTCGAGCCTTTGCAGTATCCAGTTCACACTCTTTAGTAGCAGTGGAAGCGGATGCTTGTTCGTCCAGTACCCTGTTTTCTCTTGAAAGTCTAAACACTTCATTTTGAAGCTTCTGTAGAGCTTCAGATGCTTGAGCACACTTTTCCGTAGCAAGTAATTGTACTGGATCTACACACACATTTTGATCTGCTTCATCTTCAGATGCTTCAGTTTCTTTTAAACTTTCTTCAAACTTGGTCAGAGCATGAGAGGTGGTGAGACACATGAACTTCTTGACTGAGGTATGAACTGCCATGTTGCTAGTGTGCAAAGAAGGTTCGTCTGTGCCTTCTTCATCTAAATCTTCCCAGGTTGCCTTCAGTGACTTATTCTTCTTCTTAAGATTAGCACACTCATACTGGAAGTGTCCAAAGCCTCGACACTCCCTGCATTGATCCTTCTCAACTCGTTGTGAATCGGGTTTTGAGAGTGGTATACTACTTTTCTTGTCCTGCATCACATTCTTGCTGAAATTGTTCCCCTTTTTTCCAGCAAATTTGTTCTTGTACAGCCTTTGACTCATTTTCCCATAGTTTCGCGCGATTAGATCTAGTGCTTCTTTCAGCTCACTATCATCTGCCAATGGACCTTCATCGTCATCGCTTTCTTCTCTTTCCTCGACTACAGCAGCTTTGAGAGCTAAGCCTTTACTTTTGACTTTGTCATAATTGTTGTTGATTTCAAACGTCCTGAGCTCTCCAAGAAGTTCATCAACATCCAACGACGCCACTCTTTGAAAACTTTCAAGAGCTGTGATTTTCTCTCTAAACCTGGGAACGACGGTTCTCATAATCTTTTGTACTTGACGTTTCTCAGAGATTTCTTCTCCAAGCATCATACTTTGATTCACCAGACCACAGAATCTGGCATAGTATACCGTCAATTGTCTTTTTATCCCTCATTTTGATCTCATCAAATTAAAGAGTTACCCATTGAAGTCTAGATGCTTTGACAGCCGTTGAACCTTTGAATTGACGTTGTAGAACCCGCCAGGCATCTTTCATAGTCTTACAATGAACTATCATCTTGTGTCTTGTTTGATCTATTGCCATCATGATCGCATACAAGGCATGATAGTTGGCTTCTTCTTGAA